TGTGGGCACTACTAATGCTGCAGGCAGCCTCATATAAGATTGAGGATATCTCGTGTTATTTAAGGCTTTCATGCTATTTTAATGTCCACAATTTGGTTTCTGTGATGAAGACCACTCCTGGTCATTTCAGGTTTATGAAGTAAGGAAGGAATCATTTAAGGAAAGAAAAGTAGAGACCCATGCTTTGTTACAGGGAAGAGATGTGCACCATCAGGCATGTAAGATGGAGTTTTACAAACATGACCTTAACAGACCACAGTCATTTTTATGCATTGTCTTTTTATGTCTTTGTACAGAACTTAGCACAATAGGATCATGATCTTGGGCACTACTACAAGTACAAATAAACAATCATTATAATGATTCATTAGGCTAGAAAATGCTTTAGGAAATCTCAGTTCAAGACTATAATGTGTGAACAAAGATATAGTGGGAGTTTCAAACGTGCTTAAATGACTTAATAGCACAAGTTCCATCTAAAGTCAGTAGGACTTATGTGCCTAAACTTAGGTAGTTCGTAAATTCCTGCCAATAATCATTCTTCATCTAAACCCAAACAGGATCTTTCCCATTCCTTTTATATAATGGTGGCAATATAGATGAACTAAGCAAGAATAAAAGAAATGGTGTAAAATGGGGGGGGGTGGCATGAAAACTAGATGAGCACAGGCTAATCACAAGCAGACTGAGAAGCCCAGTCATCTTTGAGAAATGCCTAATTGAACCTCTGACTGTTCTTTTCAAGTGTTCTTTGCACCTTTTTAATCTGGAAGCATAGTCAGTTGTTCTTTTCATGTATTATGCATGGCTGAAAGAATATATGTTTTTTTGCATTGAGGGAATGGAAAAATTTTTTTTAAGTTATACTCAACTACTGCTCAGGAGGTGACCACATGTGGATCACCCAATCATCTGACTAAGGATATGAGTTTTAGACTAACATAAAAAATCTGGCAGATCTACAGCAGACCTTGTCCAGTGTTAGAGTAACTTATTCCTATTTGTGTCTGGGAAGGGTCTGTAGAGGAGACAACAACTAATTAGTAAAGTAGGCAAAAATGTATAAGAGGCTGACATTGTTCTACCCTTTTGTGAGAACTGAAGTTGCAAATTAGCCTTCTAACTTCTTTTATCCAGACCTATGTATTTACTGAAATGAAGACTGACATGGTCTTCAAGGTCCAAAGGGAGATATAAAACCAAGTAAACTTCTGCTCTGTCTAGTGGCAACAGGTCATTTTGAGGTTTAACATCTATAATTGTGCTATAGCTGTGCTATAATTCCTCTTCCTGTGTGCATGTGTGAGATAAATGCAATTAAATGGCATTTGCTGCAAAAAGTTGGTTTAATTGCCTGTGGAAGTCACTTTGACACAGTTCAATTGAAAGATACTTCTGCATGGGAACATTATTATATGGAAGGAGGAAGCAGTACGCCAAATTAATCTCTGATGTAACTTCACTGGGAGTCAGGTGGTTAAATGAGAAATGAGCAGAAAATAATACGATGGAAAAGGGTTGTTCTGGCACAACACCTCTTCCAGGAATATGGGTGATGACTGCAAGTGGAGTGTTATTAGAAAGTAATGTCAAAGTTATATTAAACTCAAGAATATGGTGATAGGAAGGACATAACCAACCCAGCAAGAGCAATTACTTGAGAGGTATTCTACTACTTGTATGTACACAGCTGGGGCCTCCAAGGAAAGGGTTTGTTCAGGAATAGATGAAAGGTCATGTCAGATTGATTTAGCACTTAGGAGCGTTACAGGTATTTTGCTTAGTCCCTAATCTACCAAATAGAAAACAAGAGTTTTGTGCCATCTGTTTCACTTAAAAATGTGTCCTTTTCCAAGTAAAGACATTTATAGACACATAGTCTGATGTAAAGTTTTTTAAAAAGAAAACTATCTTTAGAAGGAGATCTAGGCTTCTTTTCAGTTATGCTAATATATGTTTGGAATGCCCTGCAGTTTAGAACAAATTTTCATTCTTTGTTTAAATGTAAATAATATTTTAACTTTTAATTTGTATGATGTGGCATAGGATTGAATTACTGTGCATCAGTGTGATTGTACACTGCTGGGACCTGCTATGAAGTTCAAAGGACAGCTGTCAGAATAGTTCCGTGTAGCCTTAATAAAGCCCTGTACAATGGCATGAAAATACGATAGGTGTTAAAACTGAAGCACTAAACACAAAGTTCTTAGTTTGAAGCTTACAGATGGGAAATAGATTATGCTGTAATATGCAAGAAAAACGAAGGCTGCTTTCAAAGTGGATAATTCACAATCTGCATAGGGGAGAATTAGCTATTGACTAAAATAGATGAATAATAAAACAAATGTAAATACAAAACTAAACCAATAATAATTGATTAGTTACAAGCTATCAATAAATCATACATACCAAGAAGCCTATATAACACATTGCTCCTCAGTGACATCCCTAGATCTCCATAATCCATAATATTCCATAGATCTCAGTTCATATTTGTAGCAGAAATCAGAATTCTGTAAAAAGTTTAATCCCTCTAGCAAAGCAGGGGCACAGTTTGAAATATTAACAAAATGCACATTTAACCACTTCAAATCTTTTAGTGTACATAGGATAATAGAAACTTGTCCCAGGGTTTCCTCTGATGTCAGAAATGTGCCCTTTACAAAGCAGAGGGAAGTCATGCTGAGCAGGATACTCTTCGTTAGGCTGCACCTGCATAAAAAAACTTTCCTTCCCGATCATGGCAATTTCAAGTCCAGAGCATAAAAGAATGCTATCAATTATACCTCTCACCCTTAACTCAGGACCTAATCTTTCATTAACACTCTCAAATGAACAAACTGGTTTTCTAAAACAATCTGATGGGATACCGACTGGTAAAAAACCCAAAAAACAAAAAAAACCCCAGGTCTCTTCCTGCCTTCATTACAGCATTAAGGCCAGTCCCATAAGATGAAAAGTTTTTTCTTCTATTTAAGTTAACTGAAGATAGGGGTGCTTGGTACTTTACTAAATTGGGCTCTGAAATAGCTACCTCATGAAATAGTGAGTAACATATCTCATTCTTCCCTACAGGTACATATTTTCTGTATTATTTAAATCAGAATTAATGGTGTTTAGGGGGTTCTGGGCTATTTTGCTTGTTCTTTTTACATACAACATTTAAGTGAGGCATTAGCACCTTCCTTTCCTTGCATCAGTAATTAAAAATATAACGCAACATTATTTTTTACCATAGCAAGCAATATGTTTATGACATCAGAGAAATTAATGCCAACAACTACAACCATTTGCATTTCTTTAATTGTATTTTCTTCTATCTTATTCCTAGTGTCCTGGGCAAATGCCAGGTTTGGACAATGACATTCAAGTTGCCTAAACCTCCTCTTGTAGATAAGAAATTTGGTATTTCCTGTGCTAAACAGTGGCAACTTTCCCCCCAGAAGCTGCTGCATTTAAATAGTGAATGGAATAATTCTTTTATATAAACATGGTTTGTAAAGTGGCTTTGAAACCTCTCAAATAAGTTCTGTATAAAACCATTATCATACTGAATCATATCTTAGTTTTTAAAATCTTTGATCGAAAGCACTTATATAAAATGCAATAATGAAATTCCTTTTAACCAATACAATAAAAGAAGTGACTCCTTGGGGCACTTCCTTTTTTGTAATAAAATGCAATTTGGAAACATTCCATTCAATTACTACAGAAATGACTTTGCATTGGCCCCATGAATAATAAATCTATGACACAAGATAATCTATAGGTTATTTAAATGATGCATTATAAAGTTGGGATCTAAACTATGCAATGCTAAACTAACAACAGCTGGGGGAATTTGTGACCATTTGGCAAGTTTATTTTTCTGCTGAAGGAACTGGTCTAAAAATAAATATACTACTTGGGATTTTTTTTAAAAACTCCATAAATTCATTGTTTCTATAACTGGCTAAATCTAGATTCTGTACAGGCCCTAACCTGGGAGACTTAACGGAGAGAGAGAGTAGTTAACCATATTGGTCTGAAGTCAGGCAAAAGGCAAGGTAGGTTTGCACCTTATAAACTAAACAAATCAGAGCTCTGTAGCATAAGCTTCCATGAGTTTCAGTGAGCTCAGGCTCATGAAAGCTTACGCCATATACTTCCGAGTTAGTTAGTGTGTAAGTTGCCAGTCCACCCTGACTTAGACCTGATAAAGGCCAGACTATCCCTTACATCAACTTAAGTTTTGTCATGCTCTCAGGATTCAAACTACACTGTGTATAAGTAGGAATGGAAAATCTCCAACATATTTTTTTCAAGCTGCACTGATTCTGACCTGAAATGCACACAATATAGAACTGTGCTTTAATTTGCCCTCATTTCGAAGTTTATGGTAGTTTCCAAACATCCAGTTATGTATTTGGAAGGGACCACCAAACTGTGGTTTAATGGCCATTATCTAACACAGAATGTGAACTCTGTCTTCCAGAGATGTAAACCTTGGCAAAACTTTTCAGATATGGCTGTCTAAATTTTGGCACCTAATATCTATCTTCATGCAGGTATGATGTTTAGACCACTGTTATTCCCCCTTGAAGTTAGAACTATAAAGAAATGTGTGGACATTAATAAGGATTTTTTTAAAAGAAAAAATCTAGAAATGATATAAAATCCCTCATTTTTCAGTGCATGTTTCAGAAAATTTTCTCTATGGGCAAGTTATTGTATACGAGCTTACAGCAAGATACTTGGAGGTATCCAGACTAAACAGACCATAGGTCTGGTCCACTTTGACAAAATCTGTGTCTTTATAAATACAATGGGATCCTCATATGCTCAGTAGGTGCATCTACACATACACTTTAATGCACAGTAGACTATTTTACTGTGCATTAAAGCATCATGTAAAAAACAGTGACATTATGCTAACGCTCATTAAAATTGTCTACTGTGCATTAAGCATCACTAAAAAAACATGCATGCAAATGTGCTACTTTGCATTAGCATAGCCTAATGTGCATTAATTTAGAACCTTACATTGGAGGAACTAAATTTAATGCGCATTAGAAAAGGCACATTAATGCATGTGTTGATGCTCCCAGTATCTCTGATAGTTAGGCCATGTTGATTTATGTGACTAAATATTGATTAAGGTACCTCATTTTAAAGTGACAATTTTGGGTCTTAATGCTTTAATCCACTTCCTAACCTGTTTATTTTGAATCCATTCTCAGAAGCCCCTTTGTCTCAATAAATGAATAGGGTGTAAATCGACTTGAAGACTAAATAGAAGCATAACAGAGTTGGAACAGCAACGGACCATTTTGCCAGCTGAATACAGGTAGTTTGTTTGACAGCATGGTTCTTACGATGCTATCACTGTTTCATCTTATCAGAAAAGACGTTGTCTGAAAGCTGAGAATATTTGATCGTCTGAAAGCTGAGAACTGTTACTTTGGGGGAAATCTCTGAGCACTCCTAACATTAATTTATGCAGTTCAATGGAAAATCAGATTTGCTGTCTCTTTTTTTTTTTTTTAAATAAGTTTTGAAAAATACATGGTCAGCTCCTCAGCTGGTTTAAATCACTTATACCAGTTGAGGGTCCAATGAGGACAATATTAAACATTATATGTATTTTAGTTGTAATAATTCTCCTTAAAGTAAAGATAAGTGATTTTTGTAAAAATTTCTAAGTAAAAATATTATACATTTCAGTGGCACCTGTTTTCAGTTGTATGCCAACCTTTAAAAAAGTCCTTCCTGATAAGATTAGTTTGTATACTACATGAATAGATGACATAATTTTAATTAGTCTTCTTATACTAGGTAAATGCCAGTTTCTAAAATACTATCTTTACCATTCACATGAGACTGTTCCCTTTAATTAGACCAGCCCAGATTTCAAAATTGGCTTTTAAATGATAGAGGTTTCCATTTTCTCTGCCTACCTTCAGATTCCATGTGTGTGCCTTCCAGAGATGCCAGTCAGCTTCTCTTGAACTCACCAGTACTTATTTCCTTGAAAAACCAATGCTGAGATGTTTTGTTGACCTCCACTCCCCCTCCACTCCCCCCCTGCCAATCAGAGGCCAGTTTGCAAATGTTGCTTTGTGAGTTTTTTGCCACTGAAGGTGCATGGATGGGCTTCTTGAAAGTGCAGTTTGGTTTAATACTGCTCCCACTGGGATAGATAGGGACATTCTTACTAACATAGTGGGAAGCCAGGTTAGGTCAAAACTAAACTTTGTGAAAAGATCTCCCTATAGGTCTGATTTCAAAAGAAGAACATCCACTTCTTAACACATTTGTTCTGGAGAAAATATTAAATTTAACTGAAATGCTGCACTCAATAACCTTTACAGCAATGTGGTTAACATTAGAATTGCTAGTCATAAAAAGGTGGCCATGTATTTCTATGTAAAATATTCACAGGTGATTAAAAAGTTACAGTAGTGTCAAGTGCTTTAAGATGTTCTTCAAGTTTTAAGTCTGCTTTGTGGTGGCCTTTCACTGGCAGCTGTGCAGATTATGAAGACTGGTCATATCAGTGTAGATGAAAATGGATTATTTCATTGTTAATTTCACCACTAAGTCTCCCCCCTGAGTAAGCTCATTTCTCTGCTCACACAAGGGCTTCTAAAGCAAATACTCTAAGTAACAAATTAGCACTGCACCACTAGCACTAGTGTCATGGACACAATAACCATTCTATAGAAAAATGAGCATTTAGTTTCTATACAACAGGATGGAAATGTGCAAATTGTCAGTTGGTAACTAATTTCATTTTGTTCAGCAGCACAAAAGTTAGTGCAGTGTCACTCATACTATCCCACAGGAAAAGAACTACAATTAGGAAAACTACAATTTATAAACACAGCTTTTGAAATATATCATGCAAAGTATTGTCTGAACTGCACACTAATGCAGAGAATCACTGAGACTTAGTTCACTGGGAGTACTCCTGCTCATATTGGTAAGACTGGCCATAAGGGATTTTACTTTATAGGCATAGTAGTCCCTCAGATTGACTGATGGAACCTCTTTCATTCCATCACCAAAATCACAGCTCCTCATGGCACTTTCTAGCTGCTTCTGACGCCTATAAAAGTGAGAGAATTTATTGAAGATGAGAGTTATAGGAAGCACTACCACCAGGATACCAGCTAGGATGCATGCAGATGCTGTCAGTTTGCCAGCAGTGGTCCCTGGGACAATATCTCCGTAGCCAACTGTGGTCATGCTAACTGTAGCCCACCACCAGCAAGCAGGGATGGTGGCCAAACCCTCATTTTCTTCTTTTTCAATGGTGTAAGCTACTACTGAGAAAATAGAAATGCCAACAGAGAGGTAAAGTAGGAGAAGTCCTACCTCTCTATAGCTATACTTTAAGGTGGCTCCAAGAGACCTAAGGCCAGTCGAATGTCTAGCAAGTTTTAAGATCCGAAAGATCCTCATAAGTCTCAGGACTTGGGCTACTCTCCCTAAATTTGCTAATGCTGGGCTACTTTCCACAACCAAGTTAACAATCAAGGTAATGTAAAATGGGAGGATGGACATGAGGTCAATTAGATTTAGTGCATGCTTGAAAAATTTGAAGAAGTCAGGAGCCACCGCAAACCTGGCCACCAGCTCAAAGGTGAACCATGCAATCCCAAAATGTTCCACGATTTCAAATCGGGAATCTTCCTCTGAATTCCCACCGCTGTCGACAATCTGAAAGTCTGGAAGGCTGTTCAGGCACATGGTCACAATGGAGCCGAGAACAACCACTATGGAAAGGATGCTGAATATTCGGCTCAAGACGGAGTAGCCAGGGTTGTCCAAAGCCAACCAGAGCTGCCTCCGGATGTTTCCAAAGGGCTGTCTGTCAAACTTGGAGGCATCGTTGTAGAAGGCCAAGATCTCATCGAAGGAGGAGGTGGTGCTTTCCTGCTCGCTTTGATCTTCCCATTTCTCTTGATCGGGCTCCATCTTCCTGCCGTTGTAGCTGTAGCTGCAGCACGAGTCGATGAAGAATTCATTGATCCCCCAGTACTCGATCTCCTGGCTGAAGGAAAACACGCAGAGCTCGCCCATGACGTGCAGCTTGCCCGTGTTGTAGAAGTGCAACACGTAGGGGAACAGCTCGGGGTTCCTGTCGAAGTAGAACTCCTTCTTGGCATCGTCGTAATCGTCGCACAGCTCCAGGATCGACTCCCTGGAGTGGCAGCTCAGCAGCCTGCCCAGGCGCGTCTCCGGGAACCGCAGCAAGGTGTTGGAGCGCAGCTTCTTCTTGAAGCCTCCCACGTTGATGCTGATCTCGCCGTCTTCCACGTTCGCCTCGGCTAAAGCCCTCAGGCTCTGCCCGGTCATAGTGAGCTGCTGGCGGGGCCCAGGGCACCGGCACCTGGAGCGGGAGC